CTTAAGGTCATGCATGATACCAAACACCTTGACACGTGCGCTGGTTCCCAGCCCAGAGAGCGGCCTCTCATCCCACGCTCGGAGAGTTAACGTTGGCAACTATGGGACACGGATCGTATGGCCCAGACTGGTAGAAGGTAATAGTTTTCCAGATACAACCACTGAAAGAGAACATCTACAAAATTGTGATTTAGCCAAAAAAAAAAAACCAAAACAAACAAAAAGGAAAAAAACCCCTTAATAACATTGATAATTAATAGGAAAGACATTCAACTTTTTTTGCGCAGGCGGGTGCTTGTTTTTAAACAAACCCCAAAGAGTGGTTTGATTCTGCGTTGCTCTGGGCCATGACAAACTTCTGCATTAAGCAAGGGCTAATTTTAAGTTTCATTTATTTTTCCTAATTATGCAATCTACTTCCCACATAGCCATAGTTTTAACTGAAATAAAACACCCTAACCTTTTTATGGCATAAATTATATACGCAGAGAAAGACAACAAGTAAAATTTTATATAAATTAAAAATTAAGACTTATTGTAGACTTGCTCAATACCCTTTTCTCAGAAGTAATGGCAAAGAGCAGAAGTCATGCAGTTTATCAGAAGAAAGATAGTACACGTTTAAAAATTTTTCTTCAGTGCTCATTTTAAGACTTTTCCATGTCTGTGTTCTCAGTCTGCAACTTGCTATTTTTTAAGCATCCTCCTTAGACAACATGTTGAACTGTCAACAAATATAACACAGAGCTAGCACTAAAGTTCTCTCAGCAAAAAGATGGATACATTAAAATAATTAAAAAAGGAAAAAACCTTTGTAAATAAAAAGAAACCTTTCCTCATCTGGGACACACACATTTAGCTTTTAAAAACTGAAAATTCATAAATATGGTCGTTGTATAACTTTAGGGAATTAAGGCTTCTAAAAACTGCAGTGCCAAAATAACCTTTCTGCATCAGTATTAAGAATAAAACACACTTTCCATTTTAGGTTGTGCTTGCTTTTTTTTTTTCTCCTTTTCTTTTTTAAAGACTTTCCTTAGTTCGGTAGAATTTTGTCACGTAAGATTACATACTGTAGGGGAGTGTTAGAACTGCTTACTGAGGTTTTAAGTAGTTGTTAGACTAAGTTACAGCAATAAAATTCGATTACTGATCTGATTCATTACTACTTTACATGGGATGGCTGGCTCATTTCACCTTTTTTTCATGTTTAATGTGGCCATTTCTTCTATACTTTCCATTTGGTATCCCATTCTGGTAATGTCCATTAACAGCGCTATGTTCATCACTTGACCAAAGGTGTTTGCTCTGTTTGCGGATAAACTTTGTTATCCTGGCCAAAATATAATAAAATAAGGCAGCACCCGCTAGTAAAACAAAGGCAATATCCAGTAAGAAATACTGATATAAAGAGATGCTGTAAACAGCAGCACGCAGATGTTGTGCTCCGTTGTGGCGGAGGATATAATTAATCCAGTACACAGTCCGGTTAACGGGGTGACCAGGTTGGTCTCTGTGAATTTCCGACAGCCTCTGGGCTCGTCGTCGGTAGCTGTGCAAAAGAAACAAAAAAAAAAAAAAAAAGGGTGGAGGGGACAAAGTGAAAACGGTATCCAGCTTTCAGACTAAGGCAAGCCTCCGAGTATAAAAATATACTTAAATGCCTTCAGATCAAACAGTACATTTTCGTGGGAGTCTCGCAGGAACACGCACGTGGAGGGATATACGCAACCGATAACCCGTCTTCACATCAGTCTCTACAGCTCATTGCAAAAGGATTACTGAAAGTATAGACCCACGGGTGACTAAAGGCTCAAATCCCCCCCTGAGCAGAAGGGCAGGAGAAGCGGTAACGTGCCAGACTGACCTGCTATCAAGGAGGGAATCTCAGCTAATTAAAAGTGAATTGCATCAAATGAGACACGTTTGCCCTTCCATTGCAAGGGGCAACATACCCTTACCAGCACACCACTCATTTATACTCTTGAACAATTGAATACGGAAAATAATTTATTAGAGAAACAGACGAAAGCGACAAACTCATTCTCGTGGAGCAGGAGATTTCTCTTCGCATCCAGAGCTCAGATAGAACTTTTTTTTTCCTTTTTGGATAACTGGAGGTCCCCTGTAGCTGATTAAGTCAAATTCACTTCCCCCCCCCCAGCTGCAGGATAGACAAGTTATTTATGCAGAACTTTTCTCTCGCAATTATCTGAACTAAAAAGGCATCTGATGCAACTGAAGTTTACGGGATTTCTTTGGCAATCTTGTCCTTCACTGAGGCTCCACTCCTAAGGGGTCTACTCCTTACAGATTTCTCCTTTTCCAAGGTGAGTGCTGCTTAAAGACTTCATTCCCATGAAGCCAAGAAACACTGTCATCACCCCGTACCCCAGAATTTCTATCAACTTTAATACAACAACCAGCCAGCTAGAACATCATTCTTTTTAATCCAGAGATAATCTGAACATTTCAAGCATTGAAAATAGATTCAGAACAAACTTTAAGTTGTCCCTCCTCTTATTCTAGTAACACTGACCTAATTTGATCGATTTAGAAATAATTACAAAGCCCCATTCACGAGCTTTTGCTTGTTCCACCTGAATGACAAAAAGCGAACAAAAAATAGACTCTAGCCTTGGATTTATGGTAATCTGTTGTGCTGAAAATATTTTTAAAAAGCGTCAATACTCCTGACCCCAAAAGGTGTATGGGTAGCTATAACAGAAAAATAATTTTGCATTAATATCTTTTTAAATCAAATCATGGGACTTTAGAAAAGAGTTGCTCTTTTTGAGTACTTCCATTTTTTTTTTTTTTTTAGCTACAGTCAAACATTGCACCCCACAATCACCCAGGTATATTTTGCTCAGGGTTCCTCAGGCAACACAAAACAGACTCCTAAGTAGGTTGCAGTGGTGTAATCAAGACACATAAAAAGAGATGTTGCTCTGCAAAGAGAAATAAGTCAAGCCAGCTTTGTTTCTATGACCTTGCTGCCCTTCATATGGCAACTGTCCATATTTACAGAGACAGAAAAAATAAGTGAGACTAACGAGTTCTGGTACGCTAAGTAATAAACTTAGCATCTAAACAGAAACAGGATCAATTGAATAATCTTGTGAAATGGGACAGCTATGAGAGGACTTGCCCCAACTACATAAAAATCCCAACAGACATTTTTTCCCCATGCACAAAGACTGTGTATGTCCGTATTTACCCTATCGCAGTAATTTAAAATAAAAACAAGAAACAACCACCCCAAGCATTCCATACCTGGGATCATTAATAACTTTTACTAGTGCTTCATACAGTTCACTCTCAGTGACGGTCTTCCAGTTCAACAGTATTCCCATGCCTTTAGCCTGCACTCGGGTCATAGTATCATAGTGGTCTCCAAAAAGGGGAATTCCCACCACAGGGACCCCGTGGTACATGGTTTCAAAAATGCTGTTCAAACCACCATGACTAAGAAAGGCTTTAATGTTAGAGTGACCTGAAAAAAAAAAGAAAAATGAAGGGAAATTATTTACATCTATACATGGTAAAGTTATTGAAACAACTGGGTACAACACACCTGTCACAGGGTTTCTGTGGCTACAATTCAGGAAGGTAAGATGGATGAAACTTGTTCTCAAGTTCTCTCCTTGAACCCCGCTCCGCAGAAATTTTGCGTTTGCAAATAATTTCCTTATATACTAAGGGACAGGGAGGGGCCAATACAAAGAAAATTCTCATGTATATGAGTTGTGTAAAGTAATTAATAATAGAGTGATTAGTATAGTGACATAAGTACTAGTGACATAAATACTAGTGATTAGTACTGCCGGGTAACCATAGTTGGTAACTACAAATCGTATTTACTAGTTTAGCACTACGAACGAACCGGGGGAGAGCCTTCCTCCTTATCATTCACATGAAACGTGAATCATTGAATGAGGGGACAACTGATGCTGCATTCTCTCTGAAGTTTCACATGCCTTACTTCAGGTGAGCAGGAGCTGACAGTAACGGTAACAGTAAACTACTTGATGCAACGGAAAAAATGAGACTGCCTCAGAGCAGCTGTGTAATCAAAACAAACCTACTTAGTTTAAAAGTCATTTGCCTAATCGCTGCATTATGGTAATTACTCCAGCTGACATGCACCTACATTCATTCATGCACATGTACAGTCTTAACGCATTCATCAGCGCTCATCCCATCCTAACACCAGATCGTTTTGTGAACGCATAAACATCTAGGTATCCCAGACATGACCGTAAACATTTTGCGTTCCCTAGGATCTATAACGATCTCAACTACACACCAGCACAGGAGGAAGGAAAAGAAAACTCAAGACTTAAAACTTGTCATCTATCTCTGCACCTGAGAACTCAGCATCTCAGATTAGTTAAACAGAAAGATTAGCATCAACTTGTAACAGACACCCAATTCACGTTAAAACTTTCCTTGAGGGAGGGGGGAAAAAAAAAAAAAAAGAAGAAAAAAGAAGTATTTAGCAGCATGTACAGATCCCCAAGTCTTGCTTTGGTGCAACGTAAACAATTATGTATGCTCAGTTTTACGATTCTTCCATGAAAAAAATCAGCAAACGCCACACTTTTTCATAACATACAGAAATTAACAGTTACAATCAAGAGTTCCCTTAAAATAGCAGGTTCCGGAAAGTTTCTATTTCTTTATCTTTCATAATTATTATTTTTTTTATCTTGAACTGCATAGCTTCCATGAAATACAAGACTTTTGACAGCAAATTTTCCCATTTATTAGGCCAAGTAGTCTTGGGAATAACTATGCCTTCCCACTCAATTAACTTAAGGAAAAAAAATGGGGTTGATATCAAGGAAAGAGAATTAATATCACAAAGGTGTTTGACTTAATCTTCTTGAAGTCATACAGATATCACAGATTTATTTTTCTCTATCACTTCCAGTACAGAAGTTACCCCTGATTTGCAGGGGCTGCTATTTCAGTAGACTGTTGTTACGAGAGCAACCTGAACCTGACTGAAAATAATCAGTATATCACCGTAATAGGTACTCACCAAGCAGGTCGTTTTGTGGTAACCATTCTATAAGCTTTGTATTGTTGCCTAAATTCCTTGGTTTGTTTCCTGAAAATCTGAAACAATAAAATCAAGTTGAAATTGAGCAATCAAAAGCTCCAGAACTGATAAACACAAAGCAGAGAATCAACCCAAATGATCCATGATAATTATTTAGTAGATTTCCAGTTATATGGGGATACTGTTTATTTATCACTGCCTGAAGACAAAATAGTCTCAATCAACATACTGTAAAGTAACTAACTAATAACTACAACACAGTTTGTCATCATTAATTTCCTTGCAGTTTGGCTGGAAAGGCTATGCATTCTATGTACATGATGGCAATGCAGTTATTTCTCAGTGCCTCTAACATATAAATCTTACTACTGCGACTGGCAAGCGGTTTTATAACCTCTCTATGGTTCCATTATTTGACTGCAAAACCTCTGATTAGTGCTACATAAATAACTTCATTAAGGACATCCCACCAACAAATGCACAACAAGCCCTCCCATCAATACCAGGCATTCCCTCTCAACTGGCCAGTTTCCTACAGCTCTTGATAGTTGACATCATCATATTTTAAAAGAAATTACTAATACAAGCAAGGGAAAAGGGGATAGCTAAGCTCATGAGGCAAGAAGCTGTTCAGAAGATGGAGAGACAGGGATCGAGCTGCAAGACAGGCATGTTTCTGTTACATACTCGGCCGTTTCTGAAATCCATCGGCAGTGCCTTGCTCATCCAAGAGTGTTGGAAAAGTTTAACCCATAGAATATGGGCTCAAAATACTTACTGATTTACATATCAATGTTTTATACAGTTAAAATATAACGTTAAATATATTCTAAACAGAAGGCGGGGGAAAATCACAGCGACTACTAGAGGATTTTTATAGTTTTGTGATAGCTCCATCAAAAGGCATGAAGTGCTCCGGTTGTTAGAGAGCACTGGAATTACAACTTCATGAAGAATCACCTTCATATCCTCAATTAAGTTAACTACACGTTTTTATAATTGGCTTGTATATTCCATACATTAAAAAACACTACCTTACACTACCTTATCTAAAGCAAATAAACTATGTCACTGGCTTTGGCTCTCACTAGCATTACCTAACCAGAAGTGCATAAAGAACTATAACGACTTAACTAATTCGGCATCATGACTTATATAAGGCTGTCAAGCAGCCTCATTCTCAAAAAATCTAAAATGTCAAGTATAAGAAGAAAGCTACCCGCTTCCAACATTGACCATGGGTCTAAGGAACAAAAATCCTACAGTGAAGTTAGGCTCTCAATTTCATATTTACACATCTAATTATTGAACTCAGAAATTCCCACTAAGGGCACTGAAAGTCACTTGCTCAGCTCTTGCAAAGACAGCAGCTTAAACTGAGTCCCACAGAGATCTTCCCCTTCCAAGAATGATGATGAAAGAAACAGCAGGTGGGTTCCCTTATCCAAAAGCCATTCAGAGAATAATAGATCATGAAAACAAAACAAAAACCAAGAAAAACACTACTAATAGGAAAATACCGAGGAAAATTAAAAACAAAAAAGAAAGAAAGCTTCAGCTGAAACTGTTGCTTTTCCATTAAAAAATTGCCCCCAAGAAATAGCCACTAAAATCGAATGTGTGCCACAGACAGTAGACACTGTCCACATACAAAATTCCTGGGAAAGACTGCTACGAGGATGGGACCAAAGAGGAGCAGTAAGAGGAATTGTGACTAATAATTTAAAGCCAAGCAGTGCTGGGGCTTTATATGGAACAAACACACACCATCTCCATCCAACAAAACCTGACCAGATCTTTACTACAACCACCACAGGTTCTGCGGCATGGCCTGAAGACCTTCAGCCTTCCTGTTCCTGAGTGGGGGTCGCTCTTTCAAGCTTTTGAAATGCACTGAAATGAAAACGGTCCCCGAGAGATGGGGGCAGACAGGCAACGCTTAACAGACTGGTTAAGTATGTCCAACTGAAGCATAACGCCTGAGCTGCAACAAGGACAAAAATCTCAGGAAAAGAGTATGTGTACCACAGAAGAGCAGCCGTCGCTACAATCCTTGCTGTTCTGAATGCTTTCTAAAATGCTACCTTTCAAGCCGCAATTGTCTGATCATATCACCTAGCAATAATGGCAAGGGGGGGGGGAAGCCTTCACTGAAGAACTCTGAAGCTTGCAAATGGAAGATATTTTAAGAACACCGCGTAACTGCGTATGTTACCCTAAATATGCCTTGATCTCTACTCTGCGATGGGTAACCAAACATGTTTCCTTTACAGAAGAAGGGTCAGAACGCCCCATGGCCTAAAAATACATAGTAAAGCACATCCTGCCATTACGCTTCCTACGCCGGGCCGTTTGCTGACCAAGCTTTACGTCACCATTTATGGGGGCCGGCAATCATAGACAACCTTAGCAAAGCAAGGGGGCTGCACACGGAGTGAGGTCTTACTATTAGACTTCAAATTACGGCGGTGACAAAGGTCAGGAAGCCTCTCCGCTACGGCAGGAGAGCGGCTCCAAAGCAGGAGACGGGCACTGCCGCCCAGCGGCTCAGATGGCTGCTCACGCTCGACTGCGCCTCGGGCAGTTTTGTTAAAGGTTACAAGCAAGCAACACGAGAAGGGAAAAGACTCTCCTTGCCTAATTGCCAAATGAAGGTAAGAATGAGGGGAAAAAGGAAACAAGGAAGAGACCTGACAGTGAAGAAAACGTAAGGACTGGCGTAAGAAAGGAAGAGCGAGTGTGTGCGTCAAATCCGCCCCAAGTGCTTCTGCCATTGCACTTACCTCCAAATAACTCTCTGCGGCAGTCTTGCCAAGGCATGCGCTAACTTATTTGCTATATCTTCTGACAGATATTTCACTCCAGCTCCAAACGAGACGAGGACAAAGCCATTTTCATTAGCACCATTCACCCATGTTTGGAGGTCCTGTTAAAATGAAAATTTACATTGAGCACTGTAGAAGCATGGGCAAGCCACAGAAACAGATTAAATAAGCATTGCTCTGCAGAAACATTTATTGGTCTCTACGTTACTTAACGAGTTAAGTCTCAATAGTCGCAACAATTCTGGAAATATACTGAGTCCAATGACCCAGATTTTCAGAATACGCAGTGTAGACAGTGAACGTTAAAATTCTTCCCGCTTTGTTTCAGCTTTCACATCAAGAGTTTCATAAGACAATCTGTCCTTTCTTAATTGACCAAAGTGGAGACATGTTCACGTATAAGATAGTGCACTTTAACGCAGCAAAATGCAAACAGCTCTCTGAATCTTGTAGCATCACCTGAAAATAAAAATACAGGAAACACATGAATGAAGTCTGAGACTCGGACGTTTGATCTTTGGCCTTGAAGAAAACGAGAGTAGTTCGTAAAACTGTTGGTTTAATTTATATAAAATTAGCAGAACTTGAAAGAAGCCAGAGCTTTCAAAAAAACAACTGCGTTCCCACTCTTCCAGGATTTCAAGGAACAGCGAACAATAATCTGGGAAGTCTGTTGGGGGCTGATGCCCCTCTTTCTTGGTTTATATGCTTCAGCTTATTTAGACAACTGTGTGCCTCTTCCAAGAGGAGTTACCAGCATTACATTAAACAGCACTACCCAGAAATGAGTTAAAAACCGCTGCAGTCTCTGATGCGGTCCCTGAACTCACGACACCACTCAAGTCAAAAGCAAAACCAACCTGCGTGGAGCCTAGTTTAACCCCTGAAGGCAAGACCAGCAAACAAGGCCAAAGCCCTTACGTTTTGTTATTTAGGTAAACGGTGCTGGCAACAGTATAGAATAAACGCACAGAGAGTCCCTTATATCGGCCCCCTTTCCCCTTACGCCTGTCCTTCTACTGTGACTGCTCCGAAACCGGATCTCTTGCGATGCCGTTTTTGCCGACCCTCCTTGATACAAGGACGACCTCAAGTCGGGCAAGCGAGGCGGCGGAGAAAGCAGAAGCCTGCGGTACCGCACTGCTCGGCGGTCACGAGGGTCCCGGGTCCACGCGAGGCGCTGGCAGGAGAGCCACGCGAGCGGCAGGGGCTCTCAACAACCACCACCCTCCCGCAGCGCCCTCCGGAAGTCGCCCGCCTGCCCCTAGCCGTACGCTTGGGGACGCAGCACCTCTTTGAGGAGCTGCAGAAAAGCAGTCCCTTTCCCCGGGTAGCACCTCGAATTCAACCGGAGCTATCGCGGTTTCAGATCTAATTGTCCAAAAAACGCAGGTGGTAAAACCTCTGGTACCACAGCCGGTCCTGAAAGAGCTTTCTGAGCAGCAGGCGTACACGCTTTCCCCAGGAGGTACCTAGAGACGGGCATGCCTAGCAGAAGAATAAAACAAGGGCTCCAGCGACGTATCGGCCACTGGGTTCCAACCAAACCCCAAAGCTGTCCTGCCAGGGGCCTTTCCGGGGCCAGAATTTCACTGCACTAAAAACCCACGGCGCTGGGTCGAGCCTCGGGTATTTCGTGCAGAGTTAATGCCTCGGGCAATTAACAGTTCCTGAAGAGAGAGCAAAACCTGAACCCTTGGTTGACTTTGTGGCAACACAGCTTACGTAAGTGATGAAAATGCAAGCCAGCAGATACGGCTACCTAAGAGCACTGAGACGGCAGAGCCAGAAGAAAAACTATCTTAGCGTATTAGATAGACTAGAGCTGCTAGCTAAACACATTTCAACTACAAGAACAATGTCATCTGGCTTCAGGAAGGGGAGGGGAAGGGGAAAAAAAAGAGGAAAAAACAGAAGGTCCAAGGAACCTGTGGCAAACATGGATTGAAATCCTATTTCCAATACAACTGCTAACAGCAAAAACTATAAAATACCACCGCTGGCATACAGACATGCCAGCCTGCCGAAGAATATCTCATCTTCTCCAGGATACAGTTTGATTTTCATCTCACCCAAGTGAAACGCGGGCCAGCTCACCAGCAATAGGAAGTGAGTTAAAGGGAAAGAAACCGTGCTGTTCACAACGCGCCTCTCGTTCTGGCAATAAATAGGAGGCCAGACGCAACAGAGCAACGCAGCACCATCGTATCAGGGCACAAAGCCGCAGAAGCTGCCACAGCAGCCAACACACGTGCCCAAGGTTCGCACGCTCGCCTGGGCACCAGGCTCCTGCGACACAGTGAAACAGGGATCGCCATCTCCTCTAAATCCACACGCTTGCGCTTCAGCTTTTCCTTTCGCTTCGCCCCTTTTCACTTTCCTTCCTAACTTTTTGTAGGGGCGGGGTGTTTCCGACCTGCCTCTATGCCAAATCTTTTATTACTGGCGACGCCTCTGACCCAGGAGATTCCAGCTGTTTTTGCGAGTCATCTGAAGTTTGTCCTTGAATGTTGTTAGCTAAGGGCTGAACACATGCTGCAAACATCACTATATTATAGTCACTACCACATAGTGGTTCCAGTAGTTACATCTTAAACTATTTCCTACCTGCTATTTAAAGCTAACTAGAAAATAGCCTTTTGCAGGCTTCAGCATGAACCGTTCTGAAAAGCGGTCAAGTGCCACGCTCTGAAAGATCGACCTCTCACAAAACAAACGTTTGTGACATTTCTTCAGCCCATATTCTGAGAGCTGAGGTCACCTGTGGCTTACTCGTCTCCGAGTCCCTGCGTGTCCTGGGTCCCCCTTCGTTAGGGGATTGCAATTTATTTCCTAGGAAAACGTTTGCATTTTTGGTACGACTGTAGTCTTTTGAGCTCGTTTGCTCACGGCATGCAAAACATTAACAAGTAACTATTAGCAGCTAGAACTGTACGTATGCAGGAAAAAAAGAAAGGAACCTTTATTACTGCGTACCGCGGCATTAGAGCTGCCCCCCGAAACGCTCTCGTTCTGACTGGGCACAGCAACCTGCTGTGCGTTATTGCGCTTGATTTCATGGCCAGACCTCTGCAACCCTTCTGTTCGAAGCCACGCCACTGGTGCGGGACAACGCGTGGCGTAACAGGCGTGCAAACAGCATCAGGAAAGTGCAACCTTTTCTCCGGGGAACTGAAAACCCAGACAGGCGAGACAGATTCATGCAGCCAGGATCAAAGAGAGAACGAACGTTTGCCATCTTTAATGGGATCGTAAAGATCAGCTTAAGAAGCGTGCCCGATTCTGGGTAAAACGTATCCCATCATTAGGAGCGCCGCCTCTCCTGCCCCGCTTCCTAAGCGCGGGTACGCACGCGTACGCGGCTGCGAGCTCCCAGAGCAGCATGCAAGCACTACCAATTGCAGGGGAGAGGCTCGCTCTGACTTCAGGAGGAGCCTGCCCGGCTGCTGCAGACAAGCAAGAGACCAGTGCAATGAGGTTTGCCATACTGCAGAGTTGGACGGGCACAGACCAGCTCAGGTGAACGCAACCATGAAAAAGGGGAGGGGGGGGCTTAGCCCACAACAGACACACGGCTGCCAGGGGCTTCCTGACCAGAGTCCGATGACGTTTGGCCAACCTAGAGCAGGAGCAAAGGAACTTGAAATTGCCCTCAGGTTTTCGTTGCAGACGCTAAGTTAGGAAGAAGAGAATTTTGATTGCTTCGGTAACAGGGAACAAGACTTTTGTGCCTACCCGGAGAGGCTCCAGAAGAGCTGCAACTCAGGTCTTCCTATTTTGACACCAACCGAAATGTCTTCTTTTCATTCAACTCTGCCTTAAAATACTTAAGCCTCGCATCATCCTGGTAGTAAGGGAAGTGTACTTGCCTTCCTTCTGATCTGCAGCCCCTTTCTCGTCAAATTCCCCAAAAGGGGGTTGAAAATTAGCGCCATGCCTGGGCTGTAGAAAACATACTATCGACTTCTCAGGACGAGGGTTCTCCTTGCATATATTCACGTAACTCCTACCATAACACAGCCTTAATTAACTGAATCACCAAGCATTACTAAAAATGTAAGAGTTAAGTAGAAATAAGAAATGAAGAACAGGGAACTTATATTCTCTCCTCGTAAAATCAACCGAGTTAGGGACCCGAACGCGTCCGTTACTCTGATTCCTGTAGCTTCTTTTAATTCTTTAACAGCTTTTTTATATGTGTGTTCTAAATTAAAGTTCTAATGAAATTGAATTCAAATGACTGGTATTAGCTGGCCTTTGGTTTATACATAAAACAAATTTGTAGAGATATATATATATCTACACACACACACACCTCTCTCTGAATATCCTGGTACCATTAGCTGAGTCACAGTATAAGAAACAGTACTTCCCTGTCCCTTCCCTGTTACTCATGTGAGCTATAAGACATATAGGGGAAATTTGCAATAGATAAAAAGCAGACTATGATCTTGTCACATGAAAAGACTTAATACTTTATGAGAATTATTACTACGGCTACATTGAGCTGGTTTCAGAAACTGCACTTGGAATTCTTGCGCACACATTGCTAACATTTACTTTTCAATATAGCCAAAAACTGTGATTCAAGATTAGTAGGGAAAAACACACAGATTTTGAGCTAATCTTGCAAAACCTGAATCATGGACGAGAACACACTGACACAATACAGTAACTTCTTTGCCTGCAGTTCCAGCATATTCAGCCACTCCCGTCTTCGTTCACCTTTCTGCCTCTTTATTCCTTTGGAGCATGTTAGCCCTAGCGCTACAAGTGTCAGCCCCACGAGGTCTTCTGCAACAGAACAGAAGCCAGAGAAACCAGCTTTCCTGAGCCCAGCTGGAGGAAGAAGGTGGCACATGGTGAGTTATCTCATCAGTTATCGAGCCACATAAATTACTGTGACGTGCACTAAATAAAGCACAAAAGAAATCACCACTCACACAGAAGGTTTCATAGATACCTAGACCTCTCCTATATGAACGCACCCTTTTTTTTTTCTTGACATGCACTCACACTTTCGACCTGTGGAACATTGTCTTCTGGGTGCCTTTTCTTGTCGCGCCCGACTACAGCGGGGAGTCGGCGAGTCCCTGCAGCT